AAAATAAGAAAAGAGGGTGGGAAAGAAGATATTTCGAATTTTTGGAAAGAGAGAAAAGATAAATCAAAAGGAAGATAGAAAAAGAAAAACAGAAAAATTCGAAGTGGGGGGAAATGGGAATGAAAAAGTGAAGGAGAAGAGGAGGAAATAGGTGGGGGAGGGAAAAAGATGAAGTGGGAGGTGGGGGGATGACGTGGTGGTAGTTGGGGGAGAGGAGGGTTGGGGAAAGGTGGAGAGAGATCAAGAAGGAAGGAGAAAAGAAGGGAAGAAAAAGAGAGATGAAAAAAAAAAAAAATAGAGTTAAAGAATGGGCGCGTGCGTGCGGCGGCCTTGGCCTTTGCGCGCACGCGCTCATCGTGGTGCCTCTCTTTTCCGCCACGTGGCACCTCCTGCACGCGCCGCTTTTCCCCTGCGTTTTCACTGAAAACCGCCCGAAAACAGCGAAAAAACCCGATGTCGGGTTTTGCTGCTTTCCTCAGCTGTATGCCTGCACAGCTGTACGGGGTGGTGGGTGGGAGCGGGCAACGTTCCCGCTTCGATACCAATGTAGCGGACCCACCAGGTGTGGTGCTCCGCTAGTGACAGAGATGGAGATGGAGGAAGAAGGGGGGAGCGAGATGGCACAACGCAGCTCCCCACGCAAGACTGAAAACAGACAATGGCTGGGGTATACCCCAGCGGACTGACGGGACTGGACTGGACTGGCTGGTACCGACAGAGGTAGCGGCCTGGACTGGCCTACCCCGAATACGACACAGGCCTGTGAGAACAGGCCAAGGGGATGGTCTCACAGGCCAACCCGAGGTCCGCTACATTTGCTCCCCTTAATCCCCAATAATAAATTAAATATAATCAAAATTATCCTAACCAAAATTATCCTATATCTACTCATGTATAGGCCGTGATAAACCGTGATAAACTGGGATATATCAGTAATCCATATCCCGTCCCATAGAGGTCAAACCATGAGCGCGAAGTACACCTCACTTTCCCCGGATCTTGATGCGTTGACCATATTCCAAGTCTTGTGAACTTCCTCTCGTTACTTCGTCCAACCACTCATCTTCCTATAAGGTTCTTCACCCGTTGCTGCACAGCAGGCTCCATGGTAGCGAAGGCACAGTTCCGGTAAGTCGGAATCTCCCTTGCCCTGATATCCCACAGGGCACGTCGCACAAAATACCACGCGGGAGATGGAAGAGACGCCACCCTCAAAGTTGACGAGCTTTTCTCACGGTGGCTTCTTCTTCCCGACCTCGCGCCAACTCTCACCCCAGAGCTAATCAAAATTAGCGCACGGATTAGCGCTCCGTTAGCGCTACCGGGCCGCCCCGCCTCTGGATTTGTGTTATGGAATACAATGAACTTTTCTGAAAAAAAAAAAAAAAAAAAAAAAAAAAAAAAAAAAAAAAAAAA